ATCTCCGCGGAAGGGCTGAAGCCCGATGACGCGAAGGTGGCCAACATTCGTGATTGGCCACGACCTCAGTCTGTGACTGAGATGAGATCTTTCTTAGGAATGACAGGCTACTACCGGACTTTTGTAAAGAACTATAGCATTGTGGCCGCTCCTTTGACTGATCTGACCCGCCTTGACACCCCGTGGGAGTGGACAGATGAGTGCGAGGCTGCTTTCAGACATCTGAAGCATGCATTGACGCACTATGAAGTCTTGAAGCTACCCAATCCTGATAAGCCATTTATAGTAACCACGGAGGCTAGCCAATATGGCATTGGCGCCGTGCTTGCGCAGCAGGAGGGGCCAAAGTTGAGGCCAGTTGAGTACATGTCTAAGAAAATGCCGTCTCAGAAGTTGGCTAAGTCCACTTATGAGAAGGAACTCTATGCGGTGTACAAGGCTCTCACCCATTGGAGGCACTATCTCCTTGGGAGGTTCTTCATCCTCAGAACTGATCATCAGACCCTGAAATGGATGAGAACCCAACCGGTATTCTCTGACGCTCTCAAGCGTTGGATCGAAGTCATTGAGCAATATGACTTTGACCCTCAGTATCTGAAAGGGGAGTATAACAAGGTTGCTGACGCTCTGTCGCGCAGACCAGACTTCTCAAGTGCGCTGATTACTGAGTTCAGTCTCACGGACAATGTTACTCAATCCTTGGTGGAAGCCTATCGCGAGGACCAGTTTATGTCTGAGATCATACGCAGACTTGAGGCGAAGGACAAGAAGACGTCCGCCGAGTTTGAGTTGGTTAATGCGAGGACGTTTATGTCTGAGATCATACGCAGACTTGAGGCGAAGGACAAGAAGACGTCCGCCGAGTTTGAGTTGGTTAATGGCTTGCTGTTCCTTGAGAAGGCAGGGAATAAACGATTGTGTGTTCCCAGTAGTGAGTCTTTGCGTAGTTTGTTTCTAGGTGAGTGTCATGATGCCACCGGTCATTTCGGGTATAAGAAGACCGCAACCAACTTGCTGCAGCGATTCTGGTGGCCCACGATGATGCGAGATGCACAACTGTATGTGGAGACTTGTCAAGTTTGTCAACGAGACAAGCCCCGTACTCAGGCTCCTCTTGGGCTGCTCAAGCCCCTTCCGATTCCGGAAAGGCCGGGTGAAAGCTTGTCCATGGACTTCATGGATACGCTGGTCACCAGCAAGAGTGGGATGAGGCAGATCTTCGTCATTGTGGATAGGTTTAACAAGTATGCTAGGTTAATAGCCATGTCGAAAACAGCGAAGACCGAGTATGTAATCAGGCTGTTCAAAGAGAACTGGGTGAGGGATTTTGGATTGCCTAAGTCTATTGTAAGTGACAGGGATGTCAGATTTACAAGTGAATTATGGAAGGCCACTGCAGCTGAACAAGGAACTCAACTGCAAATGACTTCTGGAAACCATCCAGAAGCAAACGGCCAGGCTGAACAGATGAACCGCGCTGTCCAACACCTGTTGAGGCATTACATCAAGCCCAACCAGGTGGACTGGGACGAGAAGCTTGCTCTTGTCGCCAGTCTGTACAATAATGCTGTACACAACGCTACTGGGGTAAGTCCTAACAGTCTACATCTTACCTTTAGGCCTAGACTGCCTTTAGACTTCCTACTTCCTGATAACCAGCCAACTGTTACGCTAGGCACTTTGGAGTTCGCGTATCGTTATGAACAGAAGATGCAGGAGGCTGTAGAGCATATACAGAAGGCGCAGGCAGCAATGATAGAATCTGAGAATAAACACCGCCGCCCTTCTACATTTCAGGTTGGGGACAAAGTCTGGGTCAAATCTTCAGAACTGGGACAGGAGTTCGGGATATCCCACAAACTCATGCCTCAGTACTTTGGACCTTGGGAAGTTTTAGACGTAGTAGGGACAGATCCTGATGGTCCATCATATGTCATCCGTATCCCTGGTCATCTCAGAACTTACCCAGTCTTTCACGCCTCTAAGCTCGCTGCATTCAAGAAAACTGATCAGTTTCCCTCTCGTCGATCCATGCTGCCCCCAACCATGGACGGAGAAGTCGACATCGATGATATCGTTGACCACACGGAGATGCCTGTTCAGAAGCCTCTAGGAAGGGGACATCCTCCAAAGCCAAAGCTGCAGTTCCGAGTCCACTTCAGACATCATACAGATCCGAAGGAGGACCGCTGGTTTACTCGGGAGGAACTGATGCAGACTGCTCCTCAAATCATTGCCCGCTATGAGAAGGATGTACTGAAAGGAAAGCGCCAGATGGCTGCAGATTGATCTTCGCAGAGGACTAACGAAGATATGGAGGAGGGAATGCGAGGCTACGCCCGCTTAGCCCCTACGGGGTCCTATCTGCAACAAGGTCGGCCGCCCTAAGTGAAGGCAGGCACGACAGRCCCTTCGGGCCTCATTCTTCAGGGTACCCCGCATCGGGGAAATTCAGACAGTTGCGTTGCGCCAGTTGGTTGAATGAATCCAGGCCCTGGGCCGCYTGTGTAAATGAATGTGAAGCAGGCCCTGGGCTGGATACAGGCACCGGGCCAAACACAGGCCGAAAGCAGTTGGGCGCATGCAACCACTTCAGGCCCAAGGCCTGCTCTCTTCGTGACTGGGCCTGTGCCTACCGGGGCCTACCGGAAGCTTCCTGGACTGGACGCAGGCAGGCCACTTCGATATAGGGAAGGGCCTGCCTCCTCATTCGATATTCGGGTGCTGGCTGCATGCTGTGCAAGCGCTGCTGCGCTCATTGCTGGCTGGCTGGCACTCACGCTCTCATGGGCGAGCAGGGAGGTAGCGGGCAGCCATAGCCGAGCTGCTCCGCTGTAGGCTGGATGTGACGCAGGGTGGTCCTTGGGTGCAAGTGGCATCTGT